TTCAGACATAAATCTAACACAAGATTAATACAAGAAAACAATCGGTGTCATGTCTTACTGCTAACCTTGAAACAGAGCAGACTAGAGCAACTTTGAATCTTACTAAACTGCATTAATAACACATTAAAGTCTAACATGTTAAAGTCTAATAATTATCGGACTGATTTATTAATTATTAACACTAATATGTAAATCTTTAAATTCAGGTCACTTTTACAACACTTGAGATTCAACTTTTGAAAAGGTTCATTAATTTCCTAAAACCCCAGTCCACTGTAATTTTTAAACAAACATTTGTTGGGGACTATATTCTACAGTGGATTAATCGACATTTGGTTCTGTGATGAGTATTTCCATTAGTGGGATGTTTATTGTCAAAATAAGATACTATTTAAGCCCTAGGTAATGAAGGGACATGTCACCTATGGTTCATTGGTAGGATTTTAATAGTTTTTGAACAATGGAGCTCGTGGCATAGCAGAAAAAATATACTGTAGTATGTCTGGGTTTGGAAACACAAACAATACAGGAAGATCAGTTCGTGTTTGGGTCTTTTCATGGAATTGATTCACTTTTTTAAATATCTAATAAGGTGACAGGCATTACATACAGTCCCACAGGATATTCACTTAACCCCAATAATTGGAGTGATAAAGGAAGTCTGGTAGGTAAAAGGGGGGTAAGAGGGCTTTCAATTAGTTGTCAAGGGCTACTTGGACACCCCCTGATGTAGCCATTGAACAGCCAGGGATACAATTCATCATTCTGCCTGTGCCAAACACTAAGGGCCTTTTCATTATCAGACCAGCGAGTCCTTCTGTTCCTTGAGTATAAATGTGAGTGATGGCGTGCGCAGGGTGGGCGGTGGGTGTGGATAGTGATGGAGGGTGGGGCCAGGGCCACGTTGTAAATGTCATCCCCATTGGACCGTTACAGATCTTGGCTCCAAAATAATAGGCCTCGTGACCTCTTTGTTGTCTATAATTAACCTCTAACCCCTCCCTCCCTGCCTTATCCACCAATCCCCAGACAGCCGTGATGTGGAAGATGCTGTTTGCCAAACCTCTCAAACCTCGGCCCCTAATTCTCTCACTACAGACAGAGGCATAAAGTGTGTGTGTGTGGATGGGTGGGGGTGGGGGGTATCTGAGCAACAAAAGAAAATGGCTGCTCCTCTTGTCTTCCAGTGAGTGTGTCACATGTTTGGGATGACCCCAGTTCTCTGCAGTATAATAAAAACAAATTAAATGTTTTGTCTATGTTATCTATACGAATATGAATTTATGATTGACCTAAGAGAAATAAGGGAAATAAATAAAAAAAACATGTGAAATCCTTTGTTATTTGTCAGAGGTAAAGTGGCAAAATAAAGAAAAAAAGACCTACAGTATTTCCAATTATTCTGTCTTTGCCACAACTGAGAATTTTATTTAAATTCAGTGGGGCACAAGGCAGAAGTATAGTGATCTCTCTTACACAGTGTTTGACATTCCTTCTGTCTGTGTGCGCACTTGACACGTTCTGAATCTGCATTAACCGCAGCTTTGCCATGGGGAAAAGACAGGTTTGGACGGACAAGCTTGCCTAAAAACAGAACAGAGAAATGAGCTGGAGAACACTGGTACCTTCCCTGTGCAGGGATACTGACATTTATCACAACAATGAACATCCCACGAGCAAATTGTGGCAACGTTAGGTGTCGGCTACTTGACAACAAAACACAATAGAAAGTCAAATGATCTCTGATGGCTGGAGCTGACACCTATACATAATGACATTTTGAGGCCACATGCACAGACAACTGAGGAGAAGAATCACACAAGAAGGAGATGAGACAGAATGAGAAAGCTTTTCTGCGTCTTTAGTAGCATTCAGGGAAGAAAGGCATCTCTCATCCTCAAGGCAATGGGAAAGGAGTTATTTGTGGTGCATCTCTGTGCAAATTCTTGGCACTATGAGAAAATGCAAATACCCTGATGTTGGCAGCACCACGGAAGCTATGCCAGTATGTGTGTGGCATACTGAATGATAATGACAAAGCGAGCTATATCCCCCTGTGAGCATGCCTGCAGAACAATGATTACAGATTGGCCAGTGTGTCATTAGCAACACAAGGGATTCCAATTCTAATGCTAATCACAGTTGCTGCCCATTGAAATATATCTGTACTTGCAAGGAGGGAGGAAATAAGATGGAATATCCCAGTTAGGCTATAATTGTATAAAGAAGTCCTGTTTATTTTTGATATTTTAGCCCACAGACATGTATACAGTGGCTTTTGGCAGGTTTGGCCTATTGCACCACCTGCTGGCCTGAGGCTGGTACCAGAGTGATATGAGCTTGTTTTTGTTCTGGGGCACTTTGAAGCAATTATCTGCCACCGGGCGTTAAATATTGATGTATGAGCTTGAGCTTGACTGTATTCTGTGTTATTCAATTTGTTATTTGAGTTGGAGAGTCTGTTAAAGATACTTCATCTCCTTTTGTTAGCTGAATTAAATGAGCACAAGCTAATTTAGTGTCAATACGCATGGCACATCCAGTCGGACTCATCCCTGGTTCAGGTTTTACCACTAGCCTGTATCAGTCACACTACATCCCCCCACCGCTACTCTCCGAATATAGTTTATTTTCATTCTGAGGGGAGAAACAATAAGTAGAGCTGAGGCACAGTGATGCTCAGCTGCACACTCAATGTAGGTTAATAGAAGGGAGGAGAATCTGAGCTCAAGTCGGCTCTGATTGGCTGACCAGCAATGTGCAGCTTCTCCGCTGCACAACCTGTCACTGTTAATCAGGGGCCATCTCTTAACAGCCAGCCAGGGCTATCGGAGAGGTGAGCCCATTGCTATTCAGGACGAAACAGATGATAAATCATTTGTACATAATTAGTGCTCAGCAAGGTTACAACTGACACGTATTTTCATCTTAATTAGGAGGGAAATTTGTTCCATTAATTTAATTTGATCTGCATGAGCAGCTCTGCACCTAACTAAGTTAATCTTACACCTGTCAGGGTGGGAATGGAGTTGGGCCTTGGATTACAAAAAGGAAATGGGAAATAGTTCTCCATTGGTCTGTTTTACGCACAGACCTCCAAGGAAACTGGACTGTAGAGAAGCAGCAGTGGAAAACAGAATGGCAGAGTTGAACATCTAGCGCCGTGTGTAGGAGAAAGCCAATGATTTAACTCTGCTTTTAGTTTGGAATTATTCAGCATGAGGCTAAATACAGTACTCAGTGTGTCCTGTCACATCTCACAGCCACAACACTGCAAGAACTGGGAACAGAAATTAAAGCAGTGCTGCATCTTCAGAGGTCTGCAGCCAACCAATAAGCTAGGCATGAATGCTCCTTCATCCTAGAACAAATATTTAAGTGGATCTCACAAATGGGCATTATAGAGAAAGACATGCTCCATCATACCTTCAGCTTCCTGATTTACAGCCACAGCAGCCTTCAGATATTGCTGTGTGATCTCACTGCTGTCCAGCGGCAGGAGTAAGTCCAGGGACTAGGTCTCTTTTCATTGTTGAAAGCTGTATGAAGCTGTAGTAATTGCTCCAAAGAGGTGGTTCAATAGAGACGAAGGTGGAGAATGACTGATTTAGTAAGTATAAGGTTTCTAATGGAATTCTCCACCGCCTCGCGGGCACTCAGGCTGACAACCATTACCTGGACTGATGCATAGTCCATTACAGTATCCCCACTGTAATAGAGTGTCCATCATGTGGAATACAGAGACGTCAGATGCCAAATCACACACTTTCACCCATGTGTGAAGTCTTAACCCAACTCTAATGGCTTTTCTTTTAGACACTGCTGCATGGCTTTACAAACATATTGAAAATCAACAAAGAACAAGAGGGGAAGGAAGGAAAGCACAAACTTGCCAACATTTTGTAGTATTTCGTTGTATGTGTCACAATGTTACAATGACAATAAAATAAAGCTTCTTCTTCTTCTTCTTCTAGTGTAAAGTGGCACAAGACACATAACACACTGTGTATCAGCAAGAGCATTAAAAAGCATTGTGAATGCAATAGTTTCAAAGCAGCAAGCGATGCTGATACTTCCCCACACGTACGTTAGGGCTCCAACTAAGGATTATTTCATTATTAATTCATCTAATTCTAATTTAACAGCTCATGTAACAGGGACAGTGCACATTAATAAACATTACTGTAAATGTGCCAGAATTAGCCAAAAGGCTGTTTTTCATCTGTGGTACCCGTTCAGATGTTATAGTCACACCTACATAACGCTGTGAATACAAGAAAGTAGTTACAACATATTTAACCATGAATAAACACATGGCAAATTAATCTAATGGTCATTTTTTCTACTTGCTTGATCTACAAAAATAGAAATCACAGTTTCCTAACTTCAGATGAGGACTTATTTTGTCCAATCAAGAGTATGAAACTTACCTACATCACATATTATGACAAGTAGAAACCACTGCAGTTGAGAGACTGAAACTAAGGATGGTTGATTAAAAATGACTTAATTCAGTAAATCAGCTGTTTAATTCTGCATGATTGACTAAGTGGTCATCTCTCTGCACCATTGTTAATATAGCTAGGTATTAGTGCCAAAACACCAGCTGGGCTTCAGTACCATTACAAAATACTGCTAAAGCACTGGAACGTTGGTTGATGCCTTACTTGAGGAATGTAAGTATGGTTTTCTTTTTTTCCATTTAGCAAAAGACCAAGAAGCTGAACAAGAACTTTCTTATATAAAATAAAGATTGGTCTGTATCTGAATAGATAAGTTAACAGTAGAGTAACCGAGGCCATAAATTCAGGCCTTTTCTCTGTTTCCAGAAAGTACTGACCGCTAACACCTAATGATTATCTGATATTGCCACCGTTTACGTTCATTTCCAACTTTGCTGTCACATTTCTATCCCATCAATAAAGGTAACAGTGCACCAAACATATTTTTCACTGGGCTGTGCAACCTCCCGCTATCTTCACCTTCCACTTATCCTAACGAAACTTTATTTTTGTCATCAGGTCCAGTAGATCAGTTACCAGCTTGGGCCAGGTGAATAATAAGTACATTTATCCACTGCATGTGCTAGTTGTACTTAATACTGCAATTTTCTGCCGCTCTGTACTTCTGCTGACTACATCTCAGAGGGAAATACTGTACTTACTACTCCACTCCATTTATTATTTATAATGGCAGTAGTTAGAAGTTACTTCCTACATTCTGACTTTAGAAACCTATTAAAATACAGTGTAGACTTTACAGCTATCATTACATCCGGTATCTCTACCAGCAGCCACTAAATGAGCTTTAAACATGTTAAAACCTATAGGAAGGTCACATTTAAAAGCTTTTTCATTCTTTATATATGTGCGTGTGTAAAAACATTTGACACTTTGCTGTTAACTCTTACCTTCAGTAAAACTCGGAGAGCATTTTACACTGGACACTGCCACAAGGTTTGTGGGGCTGGAAAGGTTGCCTGTTCTAACTACATGGAAATTTGTCATCTGAAGCAAAAACCTCACGCAAAACATTTCACCTTATAATTACGTGCTCTGGAGGTGCACGTGTGCTGGACAAAAAGAAGCAGCAGCTATTGTTGTAGCTGTAAATATAGTGCACTGTTTTCAGACAAAACTCAAACTGAACATATTAAGTGTGACAGCAACAGGTAGGATCAAGGTGACAGTGTACTGGACATGGCAAACATCACATCTGACACAGCTCCATGCTGTAGTACATCCCACTACTGGGTGAACTAGCTATTAATAATTCAGCTCATGACCCTGCAATGTCCAACTCCACAGGTGGAATTTATTTCAAGTATCATCTAAGAGGTTAACAATATATTTAACACATCTCAATGACAATATGAAAATGTCCAGAAACAGGATGAGTTATAGTCTGACATAATTTCACATCCCTAAATACAAAACAATTCTCACATGGACTGAAGTATTGTCCCATAGCAACCCACACAGAATGTAAAGTTACAATGTCTGCTTAGTGGATAAGTTGTAACATCATTATTTATTTTTTTTGATCATTTCAGTATCATTTGTTGCTAGGTTTTCTTTTCTCTGAGTCCACACTACTTGGCATTCCCAGCAGAACCGTGATTTTTGTCCCTCATCAGCTCCTCCCGAGCCATAGGCTCGATGATGGCACCCAGCCGGGTGACCACCTTGGGCTTGGTGACCCTTTTAACAGTCCGCTCGGTGTTCCAGGTGCGGCCCACTGGAGAGCAGATAATGCTCTCAAACTGCGAGTGGTTCTCAAAGGGAAAGGGCAGCGAGTTCACCTGGTGGAGGCTGATGGAGCTGTTTTTCCTCTCCGAGATGATGACGCTAGGCAGACGTTCATCTTTCCTGGGTGGAGGTGGCGCAGTCTTAATCCTGAACCTCCTGCGTTTGTTGCGGGACACCTTGAGGCCCATCCCTCCCCACTCCCCCCACCCAGGCAGCGTCAGGTCCACCACCTTAGGTTTCCCTGCATCCTCCTGCTTCCTTTTGTCCCTAAGAAAATCTGAGATGACGTCATCTCCAGCAAAGGCCTCTTTAATGAGCCCCCTCTGGTCCAGGTTTTCATCCGAGTCCTCTTTGTCCTCAACTGTTGGAGCAAGTGGAACTTGGATGACCTTTGTCTCTTTGGTGAGAACCTCTTTCAGCTCAATCCCTCTCTTCCTTTTTCTGTTTTTTCCCCCCTGCTGGGTTGCATGTGGCAGGTTTTCTGTAGCTGGGGATGGCTGGGGCTGAACAGATGCTATTTCTGGGGCTGATTCCTCCTGACTGAGCAGTTCCACATCCTCAAGAGTCTTGATCCTCATCAGCCCTTCGTCCAGCTGAGTTTTAGTGTCGCTTGGGCTGGCATCTGCTGCTGCCTCAGCCTGCTCTGCTATTCCTCGGAAGAGGCTTGTGAACTCTGTAAGCTCCTCTGCCTCTTTGTCTGAAGCATCTAGCTCCTCTGCTGCAGACTTATTCTCCACCACCACCTCCTCCTCCTCCTCCTCACCATCCACACCTATTACAGGTACCACATCAGCCTCCTGAGCCTGACGCAGTTTTCTCCTGCTGTCAAACTCTCTGAGAAGTGCTTCCTCTTCTGTTTCCTCAACCTTCTCTGTATCCTCTTCTTCTTCAGCAGTATTTTCTGCTACTCCAGCTCCCTCTGCTGAAAGATCCACAATATCACTTATCTCTTTTTCTGTGTGATCTTCAGAGAGCTTGCCTCTCATCCAGGGATTTGAAGAATCCAGCCCTTGCTCTGCATCATTCACAAAATCAGGCATCACCTCTACATCAACTCCTTCCTCCTCTTCCTCATTATTCAGTGATGTTATCAGCTTCTGAGTGAGCTCTTTATTCACCTCCAGCTGCTGCTGCATGGCTTTGCGAGCCCCCTCATCATATTTGGCCATGACTGCCTTCGACTTGGCCCACTTGCCACTGTTCTGGTGTTTCAGTGACATCCGCTCTTGCATCCTGGCCAGCTCCATCTTATTTAGCTCCTCTAAGGCAGCAGCTGGGTCTGTCTTCACCATCTCATCAAACTGCTTCAGGAACACTTTACGTTTGTCCTTATTGTGCACTTTATGGTATTTCTTGCTCTTGATCTTCCTCTCTCTCCGGGCCTTGGCCTCATAGTATGACTGCAGAGCCCGAGCTTTCTGCAGCTCTGCACGGCGGATCTTGGCCTCCTCCAGACTCATTGCCTTCAGAGAGGCTGTCTCAGTGGGGGTCAGGATGGGGTCAGTGATGGGCTGCTTGTTAGCAGAGAGGAGGGCAAATATTTCTTGCTCAAGTGGGGTTTGTGCCTTCCAGCTGGTCACCACCCTCTCCATGGGTTTGGGGCCAGAGGGCTCCTGGTTCACGGGGAAGACCAGTTGCTCAGCCCTCTGATTCTGTTTGATGATACCGTCCCACCTGGACACCTCTGTAGCTGCCTTCTGAAATGCCACATCTCTCTGGATCCTCTCAGTCTCCTGCTTGCTGAGAGGACACTCAATGGTCTTTTTACTCTTTTGCAGTTTCCTCAGCCGATTCTTGGTCTTGGCAGAAATAGCAGGGGTTTTGTCCATAGTCCCGATCAGGTCAGACAGGTCGATTTTGTCGCCCTCCCCCTCTGCGTTGACCGTAAACTCAGACATCTGCACGGCCGCCTCGGACCTCTCCCCCAGCCTTTTCTTCCTCTTACCTCCAAGAGCGCTGATGGCCTCCAGCAGCTTTTGGCGTTTTCGGTCATCCTCGCAGCCATACTCCTCCTCTTCACTCGTGATGTTTTCATCAGCTTCATTTAACTCCTGCTCCTCTTCGTCGTCATCGTAGACCACATGTTCATTCACTGTCGCGCTTTCATCTGTTAGCTCGAAGCTTTTTTTGAGATTCTTTTTGTTTACTTTCTTTTTAGAAACTTTAGCCATGTTGAACTTATCAACAACGAACTGACCTGTACACGCGTGTGCCGTGAGCGAAATCGTTGTGACAGAATAGTTTCCGGCACTGCCGTAAAATAGCTTCTTTTTTCCTTCTTTTTTCATCAGCCAGCCATAGTATACGTGCGCCCTCTGCTGGCTGAGAGAGAGCGTGCATGTTGTGTGGTCTACATGTTTGTGCTGTTGGGATTGTGTCACACGTTTAAAAGAGAGTCTGATGCTTCAAATATCAGAGAAGATATTAAACGTTGTAATTCCTTTTTATGTGTGTAGCCAAATTCAAAACTAGGAAGTGAATAATTTCCCTGTCAGAGGTGGCGGTCATGTGACCTGTCATCAACATGGCGGCGAGTACGTCTGTTTTCCACAGGGTGAGAACAGGGTCGAAAATAGGCGCCCAGTATGACCAAGAAGGCAACCTCATTCAGGTAAAATACTTGTCAGTGATATGTCAACACTGCAGCAATGACTGTAATGTAGAATAGCGTACATATGTCAACAAATAACATGGACGCTGGTTCGCTAATACTGGAGCTGATGGTCGAAAACCTAACGTGACGTTGTTTAACAATTTAAACGTGTCAGCAGTAGGATCAGGAAGAGTTATTTAGAAACAAATACGGAGGAATGTTTGTGAAAGTCTGATAGCTGATGAAAGCATCTCCACGGCACTGCTTGCCTCTTTGCTCAGACGTGAGCTAGCCGAACACATAGCCGTGACGTCACCACTGCAGCGCAGTGACGTCGCCTTGCTCGAGAGCACTTCAGCAGGCCAGGCAGAGGTCGGTGGGTTTTTACAGTGATGAGTATGACTTGTGTTTGGCTGTCAGGTGGAAACCAGGGAGGATGAGGAGCAGAGCGTCAAGCTGGCAGAGATCCTAGAGCTCCTGGTGGCAGCTGGATATTTCAGAGCCAGAATCAAAGGACTGTCACCTTTTGATAAGGTACACACCGCTGGATCTGTCTGGACACCCTGTGTTGTTCACATAGGGTTTTTGGAGAAACTCCTTGACTCATGTGTCCACTTGGTATTGCTAAAGTGTAAACTGAATGTGCACATAAATCTTGTAGAGTGAGTTCAGGATTTACCACCACAATAAAGCTCCACCTCTCTTCCTCAGGTGGTGGGTGGTATGACCTGGTGCATCACCACATGCAACTTTGAAATTGATGTGGATCTTCTTTTCCAAGAAAACTCAACCATTGGCCAAAAAATGTAAGTAGTTTTCCAGCTAACAGATCATCCTTTAAGGCTCCTCCTGTACACAATGTGGTTTTTGCAGTATTCCAGTTAAAGTACTTGAAGACTTAGGTCATCGATCCAAAACAGTGATCCTAGATGGTACTGAATCATCCCAGCTCAGTTTCAAAACATAACACAAAGCCACACTAGGAGGATCAGCAGGACATACCCAGTGAACCTTTGTTAGTTAGTTGCTCAAAATGTAACTTTTACTATTTTTACTCATTATAAACTGTTAGAAGTTCTAATTATTTTGCATGTACAGCTATGCAGGATAAATACCTAATTACAAAACATAGATCACCTGAAATCTCCATCCACTGTCTCAGTAGATCTTAATGGAAAAATATTGTAATGTTGATTTTATTTTCATAATTTTGGCCATTGTTTGAGTTGGTTTTGACAACGATTTAGTGCTGAGTGTGTCTCTCTCTTTGCAGAGCCCTGACTGAGAAAATTGTTTCTGTTCTACCAAAGATGAAGTGTCCTCATCGCCTGGAGCCCCATCAAATCCAAGGGCTGGATTTTATCCACATTTTTCCAGTGATACAAGTAAGAGAATTACAAACTAAGACTTAAGGTCTTTTCGCACTGAGGCAGATGTTTCGTGCATTTTTTTTCACACGTCAATAATAATTTTTAAACCACTATTTTGTCAACGAACCCTTTCATATCAACGACGGATTATCGCTGAGAGAAAAGTAACGTATGTTTTTTGCCCCAAGGTCAACTTTTTGCTGGCAACAGGAACACCTGTGACCAATCATGATGCAGCTTGCTGGATTGTTAACAAAAGCACATGGTGCACCATCGGCTAAACCTGTTTATTAAAGTCATGTTCAGTGTATATTTTACGGCAGACACATGGCCAGGAGCTAAGCCAGGTTGATGGGGTCAGTGTAATTGCTCCTCTGCCTCTTCAAGTGCTGTGGCAGCAGCAACAACTCCTCAAATTGACCCACAGTCATCCTGTTGTAGGTCCAAAAATGACCACAACACAGTTTCAACTCCAGCAGTGGTGTTATGCTAGAAACGCCAATCCAAACAGCAGTGCCAGAGGAGGATGGGTCAGCATTTGCAAGGGTTTGCACTGATGCTTTTATCTGATCAACTGTGTGTTGTGTCTCCTGGCAGTGGCTGGTGAAACGAGCTATAGAAACCAGGGAAGAGATGGGTGACTATGTGAGAGCCTATTCTATTTCTCAGTTCCAGAAGAGTCACAGCCTCCCAGAGGTAACACACCCAGTCAGTCACAGAGCCAGAGCTTAGGTGTAGTGGTTGGCACAGTGACACTGAGATGATGAGACAAATCACTGTTTGACCTACTGAATACAACGCATGAATGTTCTCAGGAATCTTTGCAGCAGTTATTTGAATGCTGGATGTTGATAGTAGGTGGTACCAAACGGTCACTCAGAGATTCTTGAAAATGTAAGTTGTTAGGAGGGATAACACACATTACTCTCAGAAAATGCACCATAATGCATCAAAAGTCATAAGAAGATGGGCTCATTCACCAACATCTTCCCAAGTGTTTTCTTAAATTTGTTCTTAAGAAAGGTCCTAAGAAAAGTCTACATCTGATTCATGAACGTGTTCTTAAACCACAGTGTTCTTATACTGATGAATCCCATGTGTTAGTAAGTTAAAAGCAGTGCCAGTCATTCCTAATTAGCATAGGCTAACGCCCCACCAATGCCCATTAAAGGGCCATGTGCACACATCTCACACGGAAACAGGAAGAAGTCGAGAAAGCCAGGAATGCTACAAGGAAAATCTAAAGCCAAGAGTAGTTATGAAGTGGAAAACAGCGAATGAGCTGCCCAAAGTATTAGCATCAGTAGCGGATATAAAACTAAAAAGACATGTGGGACGCTTGTTCAGTGAACACTGTATAAGGAGAAGGACGTAGAACTGATGAAGTAAAAATGGTTGGATCTCAAACCAGAGGCCACGAAACAAACAGAAGAGAGACGCTGACCAGTGGACGAGGACAGGCTGCCCAGAGTTAACTGAGCTGGACCAACACATCGGGGCCGTGCACAGCTCTCTCAGGTGTGGCGTCAGCTTAGTAGACCTCCATGTGTGCACCCAGGTCCCTTCAACTGCCCTGAGTCTGGGCTCAGATGTGGTGCTGGACACAGACCGACTCAACAGTGGCCGCAATATCCAAGAGACACCTAAAGAAAGTAACAGAAATTAGAAATGAAGACATTCACTTCAATGTGCTTGGTTTTTAAGTAAACATTTCCTAATTCTAAGCTGCAAATAATCACACTGTAAAAATTAAATACATTTTTAAAGACTTAAACAAGCAAATAATTCCTTGCTGTAATTTTTAGTGTGGTGTTAGTTTTAAAAGACCATGATATGTAAAATAATGGGAAAAATATTTAAGAAATTCTAACAATAACAGAACTGTTATTGTTTAAATCTTGTATTATATAGCTGTAGAACTAAATAAATGTAAAACGCCAGTTATTTGACACAAACGTCAGCGCTCCAAAGTGCGTCAGCGTGCTCCTGAGTGTGTAGATTCTGTTCTTACCTGATGTTAAACCCCAGTTTAGAAGCCTGTTTCTTTCAGGAAAATAGATAAAATGAAATAAAATCAAGGAGTTACAAAATCAAAACAGTGCAGTACACGTCAGAATGATGAAATACTTAGTTACAATGTTGAGATTCTAAGGAAGAGATTATAAATTCTATGTCGACAAGCGGCTGTGGCTCGGGGGCTCCCCGGTCCACATGTCGGAGCGTCCGTGGGGTCCTTGGGCAAGACACTGAACCCACAGCTGCCCCTGGCGGCCAGGCGGCAACTGACGGCGCCACCATCAGTAAGAAATTAAAATTTAGAACATGACAAATTCAAAAATGTTTTTAGAATGTAAATATGAAATATCAAAGTATTTCTAGGTGAAAATCATGTGATGCTGCCATTTGAAATTCTAAGGCAACTTTACAAAACTATCAAAATTATAAAACAATAACCGAGTAAGTTAAAACTGTGGCTGGAATTTTGACTCGTCAGGAGTATTTTTATTGTATTCTTACTTTTCACCTGCTTTGTTTTTTCTTATCTATGTGGAAATGGGGTTTCCATATCAGAAGGTAAAACAGAAAAGCACAGCTAAGCGAGTCAGACACCACATTTGCTGAAATGTGTCACCCTCTCTGTTATTAGCAGCAGTTTGCAGGTGTGTGGTAGTAACCTTCCAACATGGTTTAACATGTAGACTGGACTCTATAAATGGTCCTTTAAATGATAGCTTGTCTTCATATATGCCTCGAACCCCTGTGATCTAGGATGAAGAGTTTCTCCAGAGGAAGGATAAGGCCGTGAGGGCAGTACTGGATGTATTGGTGAGTTGTTACACCATCAAGCTTTACATGCATTAAAGTATGTCTGTAACCACCCAATGAACCAAGAAGGAGAACAGAACATAATACCAAGCAGTTTTCTGATGAGGTTTCAAGCTGCTATCATAGTTTTATCCTGAATTTTAATTTCTATGGCTTGAATGAACAGGAAGTGTACAAACCGCAGAGAAAGTACAGGAGGCAGAGGGATGCAGGAGAGCTGCTGGATGAGGAGTCCAGGGTTCACTCCACCCTGCTGGAATATGGCAGGTAAGATTCACGTCAGGTGTGTGTGTGTGTGCACACTTGTATGACTATAAATTGTGAGGACCAGTTTGAATTCTCTGCTAGGGGACTGAGGATGTTTTGGAAAGTTGGGTCATTTTGGCTGGTCCTCAGTTTCTCCCCCCCCCTTTAAAGAGCTGTTGAAGGGACACTTGGCTGGATTTAGGTTTGGGTTAGGGTAAAGCTTGGGCTTAGACATTTTGTTGTGGTGGTCACGGTTCAGGTAAGGGGCTAGAGAATTCACTATGTCAGTGAGTGTCCTCTGGGCACCAGACTGCAGCCATTTACTTGTATTTTGTGACTATTTTTACCGACTGTGCAACTACTTTTATAACTAGACGCACCAGTGCGGTTTGAGAATATGTCCCCCCCCATTTGTTTATTTTTAATCATGATCGTATCATGAAATATCAGGAGGGAGAGAATTGGTGTGTGTATGTGTGTATGTGTGTGTGTGTGTGTGTGTGTGTGTGTGTGAGAGAGAGAGAGACTGTCACAAGGCTATGGTCATAACATGCGAGTTTGGGACGGTTCCGCGCGGGATGTCATCCTCCTGCGTCCACAAGTAGGCTACCCTCGCTCTCACTTAGACCTTTGTTGATGATGAAACTATCAGCCAACATTTAAAAATTCAAGCTCATTCAGATCCTCCTGTGCCACTACAGGAGTCAGCGGGTGAGCAGGTGTTGAAAAAACAAAGTTAACTAAAGTTAATCGTAATAAATCTAGTGGAGGGAGTAAGAATAAGCAGGTATAACATTTGCTGCTCAGATTTAGTGGAGAATAACATAACAGAACAATGTATAATTTAACTGAGCATATAATAATACACAACGATTACAGATGAAACCTTTTTACTAAAGGAACTAATGATGCCACCAAAGATGCCTTTCACCATCTGGGGACAGTGACGGGGGTTTGAGAAGACAGTGGCCGTCAGGTGCTACTTCACCCACATGCTGCTATTTCTGTAAATAGTCTATTGGTTACCAAAGTATTTAGCAGTAATACAGTTAAGATGGATGGAAAATATGAATGTTATGCATTGATTTAAGTGGTGCTCCTAAAATCTTCAGTAAGAAGTTTGATCCCTGGAGTGTCCTCACAAGGATAGCTGTATAAATGTGTGTGTGCTCTGTCCCTTTCACACCAGCCATCTTTTATCCAGCTGCCTTTAAAACGCATTTATTTGCATTTCCATGCACCATGAACGTAAACACAATTCGCTTTGTATTACTACACACCCAGTGTTTCATCTGTTGCTCTGTGAAACCTGGGGCAGGTGCACAAGAGGGTGCACCCCCGGTTTGTGACGCGTTTTGCTCTGTGAAACCTGGGGCAGGTGCACCCCCGGTTTGTGACGCGTTCGGAGCTGTTTTTAGCAAACCTTTAACATGGTGTTTGTACAGGAAGCTGTTATGTGAGCTGTGCTTATTTGATGCAGCTCCTGATAAAAACCTACACTCTGCTAATGTAGACATTAAAATAATGAACATTTACAAAAACTGTAGTTGTTTAAGGATTTGCCCAGTGCTCCAGGGACACTGAAAGTTATAACACTTAGCTAGTTTAGCTCAGAGTTGAAGTCTAATGAGAAACAGGCTTCTTATTTCTAAGCATACGTTTTCTCCATCCCTGCCTTGTTGACTTTTACTTGAATTCCAGTCATGTGAAGTCTTTAGCCCACACTTCTCATCTAATTTATCTGGCTTATCTGTCTAACATATTGTTTTTTCATCCATCCATCCATCATCTCCACTTGAACTTGTACTAGAATGTCAGATTTCCTCCTGTAAGTATTGTATGAATGTGTGAAGTCTTGTTTTTCTGCAAGCTTCTACTCACAGCACTTTGTTTTGTGGTTGAACGTGTGGATCAGAGAATGCAGACAGTTCTCACATATTTTGGGCATGATGGATGCAAACTGTGGTGCTGCTTTAATGCACTTGTTGTATTTCTTTCTTTCACCAGACAGTCCTGCCCTGAGGGAAGCTGCTTATCCTCATTCTGCATTACTGCCATTTGTGTGTTGATGCTGTAATGTGGCATGATGTAATTGAATTGTACCCCCCAAGAGGGGATTTTGGGGGTGGGGCGGTGGCTAGATTGTTTTAAATGTTATTTTTATGTTTTATTGTTTGTTTTTCCTCCCTCCAGGCGATATGGGTTCAGCAAGCAGTCCAAACAAGACAAGGTAGGTGACTTTTACAAAGTAATAGTTCTGTTTCTCAGCGAGTGGCTTTGCAGAGCATTTGCTTTCATTTGGTATATTCAGTAAGAGACACTGTTCAGAACAACAACTTGCACTGTGAACATTAAGGTGGTTCTTCTTTACCTGCCACCTCCCGTCTTCCTCCTCTAGGTGGATGCGAAGAAGGCGTTGCTGCCCAGTGGGTCTCAGGCAGCACCTTCTAGGATGGCAGAGGTGTCCGAGGAGGACGATCTGCAGGCAGCGGAGGAGGTGAGCACTTTATACAGCGAGTGTTTCATACAATACAGTCAGGAATACAAATGTTGGAAATGCATTCAGGTAGGAAGAATGAGTAGTGAGAGACTAGAAGGATCTTCTTGCCATGCTAAACATAATGAACACTAAAGAAAAGATGGAAGTTTCACTTGGCAGCGATGGGATATGGCTGGTTTTCAGCTGGAGTAACAGGCCGGTCACTCTGTGACGGTCTGTGTCACGCACACAGCAGCACAGGCCAAAAGCGTAGCATGTGCAGAGTGAATCATCTGACGTGCACCTTGAGCAAGACTCGTGCTTGTGTCTGTGCATGGCGCGTGTTCAGGAGCCAGAAGAAACGCCATAAGGAAAACACAAACAAATAGTACACACTGAGGAGTCACTGGCTACACATGAAATGCATGCACATGCACCCTACAGTGCACGCAGCCTGTGGCAAAACACAGAAAATACAAACTACGACACTTCAAAAACAATAGTGTGCTCAGCAAACGTTCTCCTGTTTCCATTTCCTGTTGCACTTGTTTACACATGGACAAGTACAAATATTGCACTTTGCTTTAGTTAGAGGTTTGTAAAAACAGTAAAAGTTTGATATTTGTTTGCGTTACAACTTAATTTTTCATTCATGAAAAGTTAGAAAACATCTGAATGCTGTCAAACACAGTTCTTAGAAAGAAAAACTGGGAATCGGCAGGTCAGACTTATCAGATAAACAGATTTAAGAAACATTAGAACGAGTCATTACTTGTTGTGAATGTGCAAACAGCCTCCAAACTGTTACTGTGGTTTATTATACAATAAATACAGTTTGTCTAATTCTGCATTTGACTAATTCAACTCATAAATGCACTTTTGTGAGACATCTTGTGTGCGTGCTGTCGTCTTGTGTCTGTGTTCTATGTAACTGACATTTTCCTGTTTTATCCTGCTAGTACGGCAAAACCTGATTTGAACTTAGTGCCTGACTGTGTTTTCTTTTTTCTGCCAGATGCGAATGAAAACTCTGATGACCAGCATGGCTGTTATGGCAAACGAAGAGGTAGACAAACCTGTTTCCCACCAGTTTTCTCTTTGTCTGTGGACCAGTTGGAACTGAATCACCACACTAGTCCTCTGATTATCTTGACTCACACTTTACGTCTGCCTTTCCTTCATCGTCTTTGTTGCTAGAGTAATAATATTGATAGTTCCTCTGTTTTCATGCCTTTTTCCTTTTTCTAGCACCAATCTGTCATTCGCGGTTCTTATAACTCAGTTTTGCCCAAAGCACTCCTAGGGATCACACTGAAAATGAACCTGGAACTAAGAACACTACAACCTCAGAATTATTAAACATATTCATATTAAAACATATTGATACAATCATTATTAAACCTATTACACCTCTGACAGAATCATGTCTGTTGAACTTTTCCCTGTTCCAAAAAATGTAAGGCTTCAAATCGTTCTGTTTTTGTCAAAAAGATATTTTAATAGCCTTAATGTCATCTCATTACCATTCCCTGGTAACTGCTAACAATTCAGGACACCGAGTTAAGAAAGCTGGTAGAGTTTTTGTTCTAAAAGTACAAAACAAACATACATCACTGCGAGGGTTTTTGGTTTTTGGCTAGTTAAAGTAACTTCCTACTCTGAGATGCTGGTTAAATATGCATTCACTGTAAACTGAACAACTAAATGGCTAAAACATCCTGTAAATCTGAACTGAAGTACATACAGGTAACAAATGAACGGAAAACCAGGACAAAGTGTCTTAGTAAGGTATTGGACCACTGTCCCTCTGAAGGGACATGTGGACCCAAACCATGGCAGCACAATGTCCCTTGCAGTTTAACAGAGCTACCAAATGGTGTAGGGCTGAAGCCTTCAGTTTGTCTTTCATTTGTCCATATGTGTGGTTGTGACTGAGATTTGTCCTTTTGCAGGGGAAGCTCTCTGCAAGTGCAGTGGGTCAGATAGTGGGGCTACAGTCTGAGGAGATCAAACTGATTGCCTCTGAGTATGCTGAGAAGGTGAGCACCAGTCAAACTAGTCATGAAGACATTTTCTGTATTGCCCAAGGGGAATCGACTTGAGTGCAGTAATGCTAAGAGAAAACAACTTGCTTTAGTTGATACCTCAGCAGGATGTATGCAAATAATCCACTGCAGCAACACGGCAGGGCGGTGGCCTCGCTCAACAAACAGATCCAGCAGAAAACTAAACATCTGGAGGAGGTCAGCAGCTGTCAGCTGATGTTACAGCCAGAGTCACTGTGATCTAAAAAGATGCAAAATGATAAAGGAATTATTTGAAGGATTTGTGCAAAAAGCCAACAGGTATTTATTTAACCACAAGATCAATAGACTTAGGACCCAGAGAGTAGCCGGCACATTGATTACTTCTGAACATGCATACAGTTGGCTTTTATTTGACTGGTCGGACACAAAGTGACCACATGAAAATGGCTTTTATTGGACTGGTCGGACACAAAGTGACCACATGAAAATGGCTTTTATTGGACTGGTCGGACACAAAGTGACCACATGAAAATGGCTTTTATTCGCTCTGAAATGGTTGAATCATTTATTGATCGATGACAGTTTTTATGGCTTATTTTTCATTTTACTCTGCACTTACTGTGGAAATGTGCCAAACGTTTGTTTGATTTGATTTGATTTGATTTGATTTATTCTTTCAAGCATGTAAAGACAGTTGATATGTCAACACACATAATTTTACACATATCCAACAAATGCTAATCCAATATCAATTTGCTTATACCTAGTACATGCTTGAATGGATTAGGAAGAAGTCAGACTTATCCAGTCCTACCCCATGACATCATCTTACCATCATTGGTTTGCAAGCAGTAAATGATTCACTTCTACCCACACACACATATTATACTAAAAAAGATTATAACAGTGTTAACAATCTTACATCACACTAGTAATATACTAAAGAATGGTTATAAAATGTACACCACACCCACAATAGTCCATTGTTAGTTCCAGTGTCTTAGGAGTGTATTGTTAGTGTGTGAATTTGATGCCGTTTCCAGTTTAACTTCACTGTAAATTGAATATCTTTATGGATATAGAACACCTGGTCAGACAAAGATCTCAGGGCTTCACGCTGGGGTTTAGTACATTATGAGTGAGATTTTATAGAAGAGCAACAATAAAAACAGGCATTTGTTGTAACTCTGGCAACAAATACAGCTTGAATTTCATGCTTGAAAAGCTTTCTGAGCCTTGAGGTCATGATGCAGCTGTTTGCACTTCAGATATTCCAAAATCATATGTATGTGTGTTTTTTTGACAGCTACGAGCCAGTTATGCAGAGGTGAAGACGTGCTGTGACGAGGCCAAGAGAAAACTGATGGGGGTAAGACGAAGCCAAAATACCTGCAGCCCACTCTTTGTTTGGTCGTGTTACACTGGCACGCTGATGACTGATAACTCGCTGTGAATGACGGTGGAAAATAAAATGTAAATATTATTCTAACTTGTATCAAAGATAGACTGACTGTTAAACATTTTGGAACGTTACTTATTATTTTGGGTCTTGATTTTGCACCCAGAGCTCAGCCGTTGTACTGGCTTCTCGTAGCGGCTACACTGGTAAATCCAATGAAACAACATGAGTGTGGTTTTCAGGGCGAACTGGCAAATAGCTCAGTAGAAAATTAACAACCAACACTGCAGAATAATCATTACAATAAAGATGACGTCATTTGAAAAATGTGACTTCAGTGCTATGGGCTTTTAAGAAAGTAAGCACTGAGAATATTTTTTAAGATGGAACGATGTCCAAAGCATTTCAGAATCTATTGCTTGCAGCTGGTATTCGTGTATTTTCCAGGCTACAGAGCATTCAGAGAAGCTGGAGAAAGAGCTGAAGTCTTTGGAAGAAATGGAGGAGCAGGCTGACGGAGGGTGAGTGGAGGAGACACTTATCTCTGACTGATTGACTCATTGTCTTGGTGATTAATAATAGTGAAATAAAAGTTCAAAGACACATAAAGCTGTGAATACATGTGCCTTCTAATACAGCTGTTGGCTGTAGTAAGGGAAACAGTCCAGGGATCTTGTGCCAGGTTAAATTGTGGTGCCTTTTCTTTGTGCAGTTCAACATTAACACGTTTGCTGGCTTCTGGTAGCAGCTACACTGGTGCAGCCTAATGGTATTTTTCCATTAGCGTGGGCCAGCCTGCTTTTATTGTGTGGAGCCGAGCAGGAACGGGTTGGCCTCCACTCCATCTGTTCCTAGAAGCGAGGGGTGATTGTGCTGACTTGGGCTCAGCGGGTGGAGCTGGGCTCCGCCTTCAACAGAGCCAGCTTGCCGACACGTGATTGGCTGAAATGCTCCACGGAGAGGAAGTTGTTACATCTTCAGCAATCACTTTTTATCCATTATTTCATTGCAGCAAGATTTGGAAATGGAGTCTCTGGCTTCTCATGAGGGGTTAAAATAACGCCTGGCACCACTACGTCATATTGCAGGCTAGTAACGTCACGTGTCACTTCTCAGAGACTCACACCACCCCCACATGACCAAGAAGATAAACAATAGGATTTATGGTACAGTGGAAACACAACCGGGCTGACTCGGGAGCAGCTCGGCACGGCTCAGCAGGGCTGACCTGTGCTGATGGAAAGACACCAGTAATGTCTGCCCCAGTGCCCACGCAAGTCCTGAGGACTGTGTTTTTGTGCTACTAAGTTATATTTTCGTCGACACCATGTCTGAAAAATGCTAGTATGCAGTACACTTTACTAAAATATGATCCACTTCAAAGGGGTATTCAGAGCCAAGTATGTCCCGAGCATATTAGTGTAATTCGACAGCCAAACACAGTTTTGACAATCTGCAATAGAAATCAACCATTGTTGGGAAAGCCAGCACTGTTGCAGACATTCCCACAGATGTGTTGCACTTGTAGGTTGCTTTGCTTTCATTCTTCACCTAGAAAGTCTCAGAAAGTCTGACACTGTGCTGCCATTCCATTGTTTGCAGCCGATCATCTTGTTCTTTTCTCGTGCACAGCCTGGAGGTGCTCATTACCCTGCTATAGAAAGAAACCCTGAAAAGCTCCGACTTCCTTTGTTAATGCCCTTTTTCCAGATAATGCTTCAGAGGGTGTAGTAATGGAGTCTTTTCCAACCCCGACTTTGTACAGATCGATGTTGTTGTTGTGAGTCATCAACAAACGTTGGGACACTTGTAGAAGTTGTTTGCCTCAATTTTCAAGGCTTTGTTTGTTTCCACTGCTGCAGAAAAGATGGAGGTTAAAGGCCTGTTTTATATTTTGTCCTGTTGAGCAGCTTGCTAGAGACGCTGAGGGCTCTGGTAACGATGAATGAGAACTTGAAGCAGCAGGAACAGGAATTCCGCACACACTGCAGAGTGAGTACATCAACGTGCACACATTTTCACTTTGAACCTTCGAAATCCTGTTAATGCTGCTGAGTGTGTATGCAGCCTACAAGCAGAAAGTGTTTTTAAATCTCGCATAGTAATAAATTCTTCTGTTGTCCAGGAGGAGATGGCCCGTCTGCAGCAGAACATCGAGGAGCTGAAGATGGCATCAGGACAGGATACACAGGAGGAGAGGGTACATACTGAGGCTTCGTTATCCAACACATCATCGTCTTTTGTCCAGTGAGGAAGATCCCTCAGTAGAGCCCAACAGTCCTGTCAGGTTGTTTCAACTGCACTCCTCTGTTTCTTTTTTCAGGAGAGGAACCAGCTGATAGACAAACAGTACAACACAGACAGAGAGAAGCTACAGAAGATCCGCCTGCTCATGGTAGCTACTTCATATAACATAACACAAGATTAGATGGGCCTGGAATGAGCTATGTGAGTCACTTAGGTCACAGCAGCAGATAGCACACTACAGATGGAGTCAAATTAAAAGCACCCAAAGTAATTCAGCTTGTTCAGTGATGTACATAGGTTTCAGTAGTTATTATCAATATCAGGTATAGAAATTAAGTTCATAATTAAGGTTACTTATTATCTGACCTTTTTATGCCAGGGGTAGACGCCTCACATCAAACTAGGTGCTCCCTTTTCCTCCCTAAGCTGCGTTAACCAATTGCAGGAATGTGTTAGATCACGTGATGAGCTGTAGATAGGAAGAGAAGACTGATTCAAAAACAAATCCAGCATGTTTGAAAATATTCCATACCCTCCTGTACCTACTGTTCAAAGTTGCGCTCACTGTCCCATGCACCTAGAATAGCAGTTAAGGCTACTGTGGTTCAGTGGGTAGAGCAGTCATCTCCCAACTGGAGGGTCGGAGGTTCAAATCTCGGTGCCTCCAGTCCACGTGTCAAAGTGTCCTTGGGCAAGACACTGAACCCCCCCGTTGCCCCCGATGGTTAGAGCCATCAGTTGAGTTGGCGCCGCAGATGGCTGCCATCGGTTCTGTACCATAAACAAATTCCTCGTGTGTAACATACTTGGTCAAATAAAGGTGATTGTGATGATCATCATTATTGGTTGATGGTATATGAGGGACAGGGGGCCCCTGGTTTGATGCAAGGCATCTGCCTGCTAATGCAAACATGACAGAATCATTGTCACATGGGACTGAGATTGATCAGGGATCTATATCACACTCACAAAACCATTTATCGTGCAGCCCTACCACATATGCAAATGGCCCGGGTCTGATCTGAAAATATCCAGTTTGGTTTGTTGACACAGCTGTAAAAAAAAAAAGTCACTTGGAGGCAAAACATCACATTTGGGAAACATGAAGACCTTCTATTTTACCTATTTTACCAGGATGAAAGTTTTCAGCAGACTTTGGGCATTTGAAACACTCTCATCTTCAAGCTGTATCACACAGGAGTTCGTTTCACTCTGTTTAGGCTCGGAGGAACCGTGAGATCGCCATCCTACAGAGGAAGATCGACGAGGTGCCAAGCCGGGCCGAGTTAACCCAGTATCAGAAGAGGTTCATCGAGCTCTACAGCCAAGGTGAGTTCCTTCTCTGAATGTTGTCTGGCTAGAGTTCGTGCCGACACCAACCTAAAGTATTGTTCTCCAGCCATAAAGGAATGGCCTTAACTATCTAACAGAACCGAGGACAAAGACAGTTAATCTCTGCTAATTCTTGTCTTTCAGTTTCTGCAACGCACAAAGAGACCAAGCAGTTCTTCACTCTGTATAACACATTAGATGACAAGAAGGTTTATTTAGAGAAAGAAGTAAGTAGCCACAGTGGTCAGATGTTGGCAACATGGGAAATCATTTCCAATACAGTGACAAGTTCACAAGGTGGAAGAATGTGGCTTTCAGTTTAGATTTGTTTACGATTTTAGCAGCTTTGTCCACTGACAAATGAAACATTGATGGGAGAGCCACCAGCAGACAAGTATACACTATATTTACATTAAATAAATCTGAATAATTACAGAATGTGATTTCACGTCTGTAGGTCAATCTGCTGAATTCCATTCACGACAACTTCCAGCAGTAAGTAAATCAGACTCTCCTGTTGTATGTTTCTGACGTGAAACACTGTGGTATTTAACGTGAGCGTATAGTAAAGACCCAGGTTAGTTCTCCTGTCATCTACCTGGTCTGTCAATGATGTGTCAGCTCTAATCTGTTGTGTCCAGGGCCATGTCGTCTTCAGCAGCCAAGGAGCAGTTCCTTAGACAGATGGAGCAAATAGTGGAGGGAATCAAACAGAGCCGCATAAAGGTATAACTGTCCATTACCTGCCCCCCTCTGCCCCCCTGCCCACCACAGGACATAAAGACACAAACCCAGTACATTCCCCCTTCTTGTTGTATTACATGTAAACCTGCTGCTGACTGTTTTTACCATCATATCTGCTGCTGTTGGTCATTTGCACACAACCATCTGACAATCTTCTTCTTATTATTAGCCCTACTTTCACTGATTGTACAGGGTTTGAGTCATAGTCTATTAGGTTGTACCGTTTAGTTTTATCCTAATCACTTTGACTTAGTTTTCTTCTTCTTTTTATTCTATTTTACTCTACTTTTATTCTATTTTAGTTTCCTAAATAGAATGGCATTCAGTACTAGGTCAGAGAGAAACGGTATTTCGATTTTCTGTATGTCCTGCACATAAAGTGAACTGACAGTAAAAATCTTTGAACCAATTGCCGATAATTAGTATGAGAACGTGAAACAATGACACAGGCGTCACTTATCTCGAGGCCAGCTTCTTGCAGCCTTTGGACCATTTCAGAACAAGTTACCACCACTTCTCCTGTCTGCTCTTCCAGATGGAGAAAAAGAAGCAGGAGAACAAAATGAGGCGAGATCAGCTGAACGACGAATACCTGGAGCTGCTCGACAAGCAGAGGCTCTATTTCAAAACTGTGAAGGACTTTAAAGAGGTGAGAAAACAATGAACCATCAGCATGTGCTTCAGAACCTAGTTCAATCAGTTACTTACCAACTGGGAAGCAGTTTCAACTCATACTGCTGTAAAATGAGAAGAACATGTTATAATAAAAGATAAGCATGTTCTGATCCAGTTCAAATCTGATTCCTTTAAAATGGAGTATCTGCCGATACCGATTGTGATCTAATACAGTAAATGTCCATTAAATATCTGACTCATTTAAAGTAATCTGGCCCACTGTAGTTTTCAGGATCTTCTAGATCCAAATACTGGATCAGGTCTGGCTTCCTAAATGTTAAGTTTATTAGTGGTATGAATAAAAGAATAACCGGGAGCTGGACAACACGCTGTCAAAGCTACAGACTCATTACAGCACAGATACTAACTACTACTCCTCGTATCCATATGTGAACACACAGTTTGTGCCACCTACAGAAACACTTTGGAAGAGGGAGAACTACAACACAATATGCAGTGAGGGAATTACCACACACTCCATGTTCATTAGAATTGATGTAAGAGATGACAGATCATGTGTTTTAGCTGTTGTGGCTTAATGTGTTTCTCTGTTTTGCTGGAGTTTTGGTTGGAACTTTCATTGTTTAGGTGGATTCTGGAGAGTGTTTCACTCATGGCTCCTATGTAGCAGCTGTAATTGGCCACAAGGTCAAATGTTAGACTGAATGATTCTCTGGTGTGAGAACGTGTTCAGTGAAGACATGAAAGGTTGTGACTGTTGGTGTTTTATCATCTTAAAAATAGTGTTTGTTGATATTTGGACTTCGGTGTAGATCAGATCACATTTCATCACCAATTTATGCAGAAAAACCAGGAAATTGCAAACGGTGCTGTGGCTTTTTTCTTGCGGCTGTGTGTTAATTTTTTGAGCTCAGATAAAACGTTTATTTTTTGTCACCAGGAGTGTCGGAAGAACGAGATGCTGTTGTCCAAGCTGAGAGCTAAAGGAGCCTCGTAGCCTTGATACTACTGCTGGTAAACTACGTGTATTTTGGTTTTGTTTGGTGATGTAAATAAAATATGTAATCTCTGAGATAAAGACAGATTTACATGTATGGATCCTTTTTCATCATCCCACCTTTTGTTTTATCGTTCTCCTTTATGTGTGATATCGTTGTAAACCCCCACCTAGGACTTGCATCTAAAACCTGAGAGAAGAGTCTTTCACATGTTCCAAAAACACAGATGCCTTTAACTGATCAAGTCACAAGAGGCTGTGAAGTGTTTCGCTGTTATTTCAGGAGCCGGTTGCAGCAGATGTTCAACGTTCAAACACAGCTTAGTTCTAATGCAAGTGTTAAGTGGAGTGAAACGTTCAGGAGAGAATAATATGGAGTTCAGTCAGTATTATCTGACATTGTGATAAACATTGTGTAATAATGATGTGAAGTCTCGAAGATTTAAAATTACTTTTCACAAAAATAACACTGGAATTTTTCATAAAGATCAGATATTGTCCACTGGGTATGGAGAGTGTGAATGCTACTAGCACACGTACAGACCAACATTTACAAAGGATTTGTCTGTTGAGCCTTTGAAGCTGTCATTTTTGGAAGCTTGTGATGCCACAGTGACGTTCATTGCTCTCCGTAGACTGTCCGTTAAACAAACTACTGAATCAGAATCTTTCATTTTTAATCACCAAGTGCACAAGGAATTTTTTCTTGGTGCAGGTGTCCACATAATAAAATCTCATAGAATATTAAACACTACAACTTTACCCAAACTGCGAGCTGCATACAAGAACGATACAGTGCAAAGGAGCTGTACACAAAGATGCAAAGTAATAATCAATAATAGTTATGGCAGGGCTGAACAAAATGTACTGTGCATATATGCACCGACTACAATACATATAATAGCGTTACACCCCGGCCTAGGGCCTACCTCGGCGCAGCATGATAAAGGAGGCTGGCCTCTTCCCAGCACCAGGTTTAGGCCCTCTTCCACCATATTCTATGTTCAGACTTTGGCAGAGTGGAAGGTGTGGCCAGAATAAAACCAAAACCAACAATCTTAAACACCCTCTGTTAACCTAACTGAAAATAAAACAAACTAAAGACATAAGGCTGAACACACATGCTGGCTGCTGGAAAGAGGAGACCCCTGCCTGGGCAAGGAGGAGTCGGGGTTCTAGGGCAGCGACCGATCACCACCTGAGAAACGCGTGCACACTCACGCAGTCAGCCAGTAGTTTTTGGTGCATGTCGCACTGTTCGCTGTAGCTTCTGTTTGGTATGTGAAGGTGCAGAGCCGAACCAGATGGAGATGGATGATCAGTAGACTATTATAGCAGTACACCACCTGCCCAACAATGCTAGGGGCAGCATGAATTTCTCAAGTTGTCACAAAAGATGCCAACGCTGCAGTGCTGCGCCCGTCCCATCTGAGATCCTATACACGTGTCTATGTTGATCATAAAGTGGGACGCAAACTAATAAAGTCTCAGACCTTGTAAGTGCCTAAACATGTTTTGCTGATGTTGTGTTACAGGCTTTGTGTGAACTAATGTTCTTAAATTTCATCCATTTATGCTAATACAACTTTTTAATGCACATTTATTTTGTAATGATGCTGTTCCTATGTGCCGCTGAAGTTTTACATTTACCTCTGTCAGCATACAGTGGCCATGTATTAGCATTATTTAATGAATAAAATAATTCTTTCTGAACAATTTGAATGCCTTTGGTGTTACTAATGTCAGATAGGGTATCTTTTGTCAGACATTCAGACACTGTGTGCTGATTGAAGACAGCGTTCTATCAGAAGTCACCAGAGTGCTGTCAAAAGTTGCACGATAAACCTGAAGGAAACATTCTGTGTGTCACCCAGGCACTTCAGATCTCCTGGCGTAGATGCACAAGCTGGCCACAGAAACATCTGTTCCAACACGGTGACCAACATTCCCACCAGTTGTGGGACGTGTGTTCCACACAGACAAAGACGTCCTGCAAGCTACAGAAAATACTTCAGGATTTATTTCCCAACCGTGTAGAGATGGTGGTTAGCTGAGCAGCATAAAAGCTCCTTATTTACTGATTTACATCTACATATCCTGGAGCCTGAGCCTGAGTTGACATCAGTCTGTTAAGTGCACAACGCCATGTTGTTTTAGTTTCACACAGCTCCTTCTGGAGACACTCAAGCTTTTATTCAACATGTTCAACATATGCAGTAGGATGTCCCAGCACATGAAAACACGCTTTGATGTGTAAAATCAGTGAAGAGGTGAAATTGTCTTGTAAATGTAGACGTTTAAATTTCCTGAAACACTGACTGTTCCCCATTGAGGGATCAATAAAGTACCTACCTACATCTGTCATTTTTAAAAGAGACTTTTTAATGGAAATAAATTTCAGTTTGGGAGCAAAACAATGCACTTTTGCTCAGTTGAATACGCTCACAGGTTGTGGCCACTGAGGAGCTTCTCCTTTCACTCACTACCAACATCTCAGATTTGTTCAGATTTTTAAATCTGAATGGAGTAAAACATGGCAGATCAGCTGATCAGGTCCTGTCCTTATCGATGCTCCGTCAGAAGTTAAATCAAACATTTCACTGAAGCACGATTCACAGATACTGACCTTTACTGTCAAAAGTCTAAAGCACTGTTGATGTTTTATCATGTCATGTGATCTACATCAGGGCTACCCTGTTTATTCTGATGCATACTGTGAATTTACAGTATATATACTTTATATAGCCAAAGGTAAATGACATGACAGTGTCTCTGAGGACAAAAGCCAAATCTATGCAAATGTAAATCCTTGCAACCAGGTTTAGCATCTGGAGAGTCAAAGCTGCTACAGCAGTGGATCAGTACCTGTGGTTATGTGTTCAGGTGCATGCATACCTCACCTTTGTCAGGCTAGAAAATACTGTAAACTTGTATTTGTGTGTGTTATGAGTGTGCTCCTGTGCTTCAGCCTATTTTGCTGCTCCCACTATCAGCTCAGCTATAGCTCCAATCTCAGTGATTGTGATACTGAACAGACAGTTTGCATGTCTCCTGCTTGTCAGAGCTCTGATTGGGTGTCATAAAAACATGTTCACGCACGCAAGCTACACTCAGAGTAAAAATAAGTTTGCTTTACTTTATTTTTCCTGTGCTTTGGTGACTGAAGTAAACTATAGTGGCTCAGTTATAGAAGGATAACACTGTGGAAGCTGTTACTGAAAACATTACAAGCTGCATTCTGCAGTGACTTCAGGGAATATAATGTGTCGTAGGATTACTGATCTGTCAGTGATAGTGACTGTGTACAGCTGAGTATCTCACTGCGTCCCTGTCACTCAACGCTTCAGTGTAGTCAGAGGTGTTCCCAAGATAAAAAAAAGGAAGTGAGTGTAGAGGGCATGAGCAGAGAACAGACGCTCTTGCTCTACCAACACAGTGGCCTTTTGTCAGTGGTTATGACTTGAGGACCGTGTGGTCTGTGGGCAGGTGTCTGATGTGTTTCACTATGAAAGTTTCCTCGCTGCTGCCTGGCTTCCTGCTGCTCCTAGTTTTCGGGGTGTGTGATCAGCTCGTGGGAGCAAAGAGACAAGAACCAGCTGCTGCGCCTGTAGACCCCAGCACTCGCCTCCGAGGCCTCTGGAAGCTTCACATGAGGGACTCCCTGCTCAAGGGCAGAGGTGAGAAGGCACCGAGTCTTTCTTACTCCTAGAATGGAAAGGTCATTTAGGAGAAAACCTCTGTTACATCACTTTTATAGAAATCATGGTGTTTACGATGACATATATTAAGTCAGACTGAAAAAAGCTTTTAGGAAGGAACAACTCCAAGTGCATCTTAGGAAGAAATCGTCTTCTATATGTTTTCCAAAGCTTTTCCCACAGGATGCTGAGTTAGTATATTTAACTAGCTAGTTTAGTTTAGTTTCTGTAGAAATGTATAGGTTCTTTTGAATGTTTTAGATTTTATTAAGCAGTAACAATTCGCTCCTTCAGCTTTTAGTAATTCAATATCTAACAGAAATCACAATACAACTGTGTCCTCAAATTAACTCAGCTTTAATAAATAAATATTGAGAAATATTATTTATAGAATATTATTTTGTCAGTGTAGGAAGAATAAATAACACAAACCTCTCGGCAAAACTGCAGCCTCTGAAATGATCATCAAATCAAAATCAAATTTGAGTAGATAGAGGAGAGAGAGAAGAAGAAAAGCAACAAGACACAACAATCAAACACTGATCAGGTCGATGTGGCTGGTGACTGCTCGTCAGAGACGTAGAGCTCCAGGGCCAGGGCAACCTGTAGAAAGGTACAGGGAGAGAGAGAGGACACACTACGGGAGAGAGGAGACACAAAGTTAGTGATGTGTAATGGTGGCATATAGAAGCATAGGGAGAGAGAGGAGAGGGGAGGAGAGGAGAGCAGAGCAGAGCAGAGCAGGAGGGGAGGGGAAAGAAACTCAGAGCATCATGGGGCCCCCCAGCAGCCTAGGCCTATAGCA